ACCAGATCCAAAGGTTAGAAAGCAAACAAATGGAAAAGCAAAAACAAGAAGAGAAAGGAGAACAGCTGCCAAAGCAGAAAAGCAACAAAAGCAAAGAGCAGAAAGACAAAAACACAAAAAGCAGCAGAAGCAGAAAAGCAGCAAAAGCAGAAAAGCAACAAAAGCAGCAGAAGCAGAAAAGCAAAAGCAGAAAAGCAACAAAAGCAAAAAAGCAGCAGAAGCAGAAACGCAGCAAAAGCAGAATCCGAAAAAAAAAATATATATATATATCCCAAACAAAATTTAAAAAAAATGAAAAAAAAAGAAGAAAAAAAAACGCCCCTCCCTTAAAAAGTGAGTGTTTGCGAAAAGACCGGCCAAACATGATCGTGATGATCAACGGCGTTGCGCCGGGTGTCTCTCGTTCGCTTTGGTGGGGCACGCTTCCGGTAAGCCAGTCCTTCCGTGGAGCAATCGCGGCTGGCACACGTTTGACAAACAAGCATGGATATGCCTCCACACCTTACACGCATTTGTGTTGGTTTACCTGGTTGCTGTCACATTATTAAAAAATTAAATCATCAACTACCTCAGAAACTTCTCTTTCTGGCTCTGACTTTCCGTCCTTGCAGATGAAGGTGGGCATAGCCTGAATTCGGCTGGCACTTCACTGCCCAAATGGCCGCTTCCATTGCCACTCCTGTGCCCATGTGGGCCATGTCTCACCCATTGGGAGCTCAGATCGTGCATGTTCCAAACACCCCCAGATCAAACCCAAGTTGGAACCATCCCCTCCAAAGAATGATCAAACACATCCATCCATCCATCCATCCATCCTTCCTTCCTTCCATCCATCCATCCTTCCTTCCTTCCATCCATCCTTCCTTCCATCCATCCTTCCTTCCTTCCATCCATCCATCCATCCTTCCTTCCATCCATCCTTCCTTCCATCCATCCTTCCTTCCTTCCATCCATCCTTCCATCCATCCATCCATCCTTCCTTCCTTCCATCCATCCATCCTTCCTTCCTTCCATCCATCCTTCCTTCCATCCATCCTTCCTTCCATCCATCCATCCTTCCTTCCTTCCTGCCTTCCTTCCTTCCATCCTTCCTTCCTTCCATCCTTCCTTCCTTCCATCCTTCCTTCCATCCATCCATCCTTCCTTCCATCCATCCTTCCATCCATCCATCCATCCTTCCTTCCTTCCTTCCTGCCTTCCATCCATCCATCCATCCATCCTTCCTTCCTGCCTTCCTTCCATCCATCCATCCATCCTTCCTTCCATCCATCCATCCTTCCTTCCATCCATCCATCCTTCCATCCATCCATCCATCCTTCCTTCCTTCCATCCATCCTTCCATTCATCCTTCCTTCCATCCATCCATCCTTCCTTCCATCCATCCTTCCATCCATTCTTCCTTTCTTCCTGCCTTCCTTCCATCCATCCATCCATCCTTCCTTCCTTCCATCCATCCTTCCTTCCATCCATCCTTCCTTCCTTCCATCCATCTTCCTTCCATCCATCCATCCTTCCTTCCATCCATCCTTCCTTCCATCCATCCATCCTTCCTTCCTTCCTTCCATCCTTCCTTCCATCCATCCTTCCTTCCATCCATCCATCCTTCCTTCCTTCCTGCCTGCCTTCCTTCCTTCCTTCCTTCCTGCCTGCCTGCCTTCCTTTCCAAAAGCTTGCGACTTCCGCTGCGCGCGGCCCCGCAGTCCGGCTGAACGGCTCCCAGAGTTTGTCAAGCCCCTCCTCAGTGTGATGCTTGGGAAAGGCCAATGTGAGGATGCAGGACGAAGAAGCACAAAGCCACTGGAACGACTCTCAAGTCATAGTTCTTGTCAGTTTTTGTGATATGCTGTGTTGGTGCTTCCTTGGTGTTTCCTTAGCTCAACCCCAAGGTGTTTCCTCGGACAACAGACCGAGCGGACCGAGCGCCTGAACCCAAGACCCGCCGGAAAACACGTTCTCGTCTCTGCGTCTCTCGTCTCGCCGGGGGTCCGCTGGAGCCGCTGGAGCAAGGCGCAGGCCTCTTTGCAGGTCAAATCCTCCAGGCTTCGCACCTCCAAGGGCTCTGGAGCACCTGATCTGAAGGACCGGCCACTGCGCCACCCCGAAAACCATGCGATGAACGCACGCATTTCCGAGAGTCCATAAGTGAAAACCGCTGCGTGAATGAAAACCGCTGCATGGCTGAGAATCCGACACATCATGTTCCATCCTTATGTTCCATCTTTGAGGGGCACCTTCTTTCAACTCTCGGCCGAAAACCTCCACTCCGCTGCTCCGGTGCTCCCCTGCACACCTTGAAGACCGTGGGCTTCGCGGAGCTTCCCCAGCAGCTGGCGGACCCCCTCCGGCGTGGCCTCGGGCGCGGGATGCGTTGCGGTGATCGCCTCGTCCAAGGCCAGGCACAGCTCCCACCAGGGGTCCTGAGGGCATGGTAAGTCAGGCTGGCTGATGTGTTTCTTTCATCCGCCGCCTCCTGCTACGGATTGCCTGCCACCAGAACCTCTAGAAGTGACCTGTTGGAAGATGCAGGTACTTGACTTGCTTCAATAGGGTTGGTTGGGCCATGAAAGGTCAATGTGGACTCTTGCGATGCTCCACCTCGCACTTTCGATCACGAGATACAGAGATGCATGGAGTTTCATCGTGTTTGAAGCTGCCGGTTTATGACTTGTTTCTTTCGATTGTGAGGTCTGCCAATCACAGGCCTGTGGTTAAGATCCAGGATCTGAACGACTCCTACTTCGTACACCTGTTCTGAGCGGATTCCTCACCCATTGATTTTAGTCCTTCCACCTTTAAGCTTCTTTCCTCGATGGCGAACATCAATCCGGCGGAATGAATGTGAGTCCAAGGTGCAGGTTCCACAGTGGTCCCCTTCTATTTCATGCCCCCTCCACCAAGAAAACCAAATATCCAAGTGGGTCCACGAGGCATCTACTCGTAACGGACTTCACCAGGGGTTCACGTCTGAATTCCCGAACCCTCTTGCAATGCGCCTCACAGAATGCAAGTTCCCATAAGGGAGGAAAGAAACCACCCAGCACGGTGGTCAACTCCGCCTATCCCGACTTTCGATGGCTCTCATGACTTTCATGGGGCCCAGGAGCTTTGCACACTCCAAGCTTCAAAGTCCAGACCTTCCCTCAATGCCCGCCATCGTCTTCGCCGGTGACTTTGCAAGATCACCAGCGCCCGCTCCGGCTCGATCTTTTGCAAGGAAAACTGCAGCCGCCAAGGGCGCTTCCCTGAAGGAGAAGCGAAAGAATCTGCAGTATGGAGCTGGAAGTGTGGGTGCTCTGCAACGAAGTGCACTTGCAGATGTGAACATTCAACCCCTATCCTCTGGTCTCCGGCGGGTGTTTCTCTGCCGATGACTTTACGGCACGTGCCCAGGTGGTTGTTGGCACGATGCCATTGTGCTCCAATAAACGAAAATGGCAAGCTATCGTGTTCAGTAATACTCCGGCGTGCTCGCATTTATTTGGGTCTTCCTGGCCTACATGCAGTTATATAAGAAAACTGTATAGACATGTCGCACAAAAATGATCAAAAATGAGTGCGTTTATTTAGGGGGGATACAAACACCATGTAGTTCTCCAATCACGGGTTCTGATCTCCAAAGAAGACGCCGTGGCCATTGACGGGAGGATTAATGTGGAAGACTTGAAACAAGCGAAACAGGCTTCCTCCCATCGACACCCTGGTAGCACTCCCTGGGCCTGAGGGTAGCACTCCCTGGGCCTGGAGCTCTTGAACAAAGCTGTCCACCTGTCTAGGCGTCACCGGTGCCGCTCCCACAGCATCCCCTGTGAGGGACGCTGAAAGCTCTGGCTCTGTGGTGCTGAGCTCCTGCTGCGACTGGAAAACACGCACAAAGCGCCGCAGCGCCTGGGCGACGTCGCGCCAAGCGCGGCGAAGCGACGTGAAACACGGCTGAAGGACCTGAAGACTTGGCCTCACGGTGGGAGAAAACCTCTGAAGGACCCTTGGGGGACAAGGGTGAGCAACACCTTGCGGCAGAGCAACACCTTTCCGAGTGCCATTTCAGTGTCTTTCGGGATGCCAACAGTTTCTCTCAAAAGTCCAACAGCGGGCGCACCCTTCACTCCGGCGCCTGTGTCTTCTCCTCGGCGGAGGATGTCAGCGCCCAGGAGGTCAGCGCTTTGCTCATGTGCGCGCGCCACTTTTGGTAGGACTCCTGTTCGGACCACTCGACGCGAGCGAAGGACGCCGGTGGACCGGTGAAATGGGAAAGCAAGGATTTTGGAGAGGCTTCGAAACACGGAAGATCCAAGAAAGCAAATTGGCATCTGTCATCTGCGCGGTGCGATCCGTCTGGTCGCATCCGAATTTGATCTTCCATGGGGGCGAATTTCACACCATCGGCCCACAGGGGTCAAGAAACGAGCAAGGAAACTCTATGGCAGCTGGTCACATCACTAGCTTCAACAGCACGATGCATCAGCCCCGCACCACACCCTGCAGGATGCCCACGATGGGTTGGTGCCCTGCTATGTTCCAACTTGATGGAAACTCCAATCAGGCAGAAGGTTTTCCAATAGCTACATGCTTGTGTCCATCAACCAGAGTTTTGGGGCGTCGGACGTCAATCGGAATCTGTTGAACCATTTAAGGACAACAGCATCTCTCAGCAAACTTTCCACAAAAAGAATCTGGATAGCACCAAGCTATGCATGTTGTGTCTGCTACAACACTAACACAGTTGCCTCCTCGAACATTGCAAGCACTTCATTCATATAGAACTATGCGTGTTTTTCAACATCTACAGAAGTCCATCTGTTAGTGACAGTGCAGGGTTGCACAGCACGGCAGTCCGTCTCTCGGCTCCTTCTTCAGAAATCGATAGTCTTCCATGATGGGATGCAAGTAACCTGCCAAAAGCCCCGCCACCATTGAAATTGTTCAAATGTCCTCCTGACGTTAGATTGAAGCTGTTCCCGCAGCAATGTCACCTTGAAGATCCTTAAAGGATTTCGAGGCTTCTGGGCGTCAACGTGTCCCACATCTTTGACTTCTGTAATGAAGAAAGCGCCTGAAGTCCAAACAGGAACCCACAGACCATGGACCATGGGATGTGAAGGTCGGCCAGGAAGTGAAGAAATCCATCCTTCGTCTCCAGGATATCCATGCCACGAACGGCAAGTCCCCCATGCCACGAACGGTCGTTCCACTCGCCCGCCCCGAGGCCTCGATCATGAAAGGCCAGAAGATCCCCCAAAGCCACGCACGAGTGCTGCAAGCCGCCTGCGTCACATCCACAACGAGAAGCGGAGACCCACCAGTGGAAAGGCAAGCGAGAGAGGGTTCATGGCTAAGTCAAGCAATTCAGAAACGATGATGCACAACAAAGAATCAAAACAACAAAGGCCTGTTGAAACACCAAAAGATCTTCTAAAGCTCACCAGTCATATTGTCTGAGGAGTTCTGAGGTTGAAATGCCTATACAACTATCCTAAATGCTAGACCCACTCTTCTCTTCACTTGGTTCCACTCCCTCAGCTTCCATGAGGGAGTTCAGACCCCCAAAGCGTCCCCTCTCAGCGCCGTTCACACGGTCGGGCCGCCTGGCAGCTTCACCTTCATGAGGCCTAAGTGGAGACCCACCTTCTCCAGCACAGACAGCACGGCATCATCAATACCTCCCAAGCAGGTTCAGCGGCACCACTTCGCGGACGGGGCTGTCTGCGAGGCTTTCCCACTTTGCGTTAAGCATTTCACCTCTTATCGCTCGTGTTGTTAGGCTATAACCGAAGCATCGAAAATCAGACTCGTCAGTTGGTACTCCTAAGCAGGTCAACCCCTAAGAATCACCGGAAGCTCCTCTACTAACCCTATCCACAACCCCCTTTGGGACCTCTCCTGGCCTCTGGGACCCCCCAAGGCCACCAGAATCTCCCGGATGGGCTGCTCCGGCTGCGCGAACATCGCCAGGCTCGTGCCGAAGGAGCCCACCTCTTCAGCTCCGGCCGGCCGCTCCACTGACGGGACCCCAGCAACGCCGTACACGGGGTTGCTTCATGGACACCCTGAGTCACCTCTTTAAGGGGCTGCGTTCCAGGCTTTTTTTTTCAGCATCTTCTGAAACATCTCGGTTTCAAGGGTTTGATGCCATATGAATGCCAAAAGGGTTTAGTTTAGCTTGCCGCTGGCCGTAGGGCTTCCGAAAAAATGAGAAAAAAAGAACAAAAGAAAACAACGATCCGGGCCATCCATCCTCGGAGATCCGACTCACCGGTGCCATCCATCATCGGAACGAACATCCCATCCACCGGCTTAGCCGGAGGTCCCATGCGGGGTGGTGAAATAAACATGTTGGAGGCCTCCACGCCATCCTTGTCCAGCAGCAGTCCTCCAAGGCGGGATCGGCTGGAATTGTGAACAGAATGCAGCGATGTGCTTTGCTGGAGTGGTACCTGTGGCGTCTGCAAGTGAAGGACCTGCAGCTGATAGGGAAGACGATGATTTGGGTGGCTAGTAGTCCTACAAAGCAATCCCTATGACTTGAGCACTCCTTCATGCTAGCCACAGCACGCGACCGCTGGCTGGCTGGCTGGCTGGCTGGCTGGCTGGCTGGCTGGCTCGTGGTGTCCAACATGGTCCAACAATCGACCCGTCGTGCTTACCAAATTATACATATACCAGGAGTCACAAATTATGGTGTTTAGTCCCTAAGTGAGTGGATAATGGGGACCCGTATCCTCCATTAAGCACCCCTTTGTGACTGCTGGTATATATATATATAACTATATATACAGTGTTGATCATTGATCTTGTAGAATTTGAAACCGGTGGCTTCACAGTCTAGCTGGGCAGATTTGATGCAGGCCGGCCACTGTTTCCACACATTCAGGACGCGCGCGCAAGCAGTCCTACACTGACACCGCCCCTCTCTTCTGCTTTTTCTCGAAGCTCTTGGACCTGCCAGGCGCAAGAATGTCCATCCCCTCACAACGCCCCAGTCTTCTCCCTCAAAGCACCTACTCGAGCCTTTCGTCCACACTTCATGCCTGTCATGCCTCCCTCACCCCACGTGGCGTTCAGAGCCAAGCTGCCTAATTACCCAGAACAGCCCGAGAATGTCCATCTTTCCATCATCTTCCATACCTTTTCAATCCCCCAACAGGCCGATCCACTCCCCATCTCTGCCTTGTCCTTGATCCATTGCTCCCAGCGCTGGCCTCCCTGCCTTGGATCTCCCAAGTGCCCAAGTGCCCAAGTCCCCCCAAAAGAACAAAACAGCTGGAGTAGAACTGGTTTGATTTCACCTGTTGCACGGGCTCCCCATGGCCTCCACCAGTCTGGCCCCCCACCGCGCGTCCAACCGCGCTTCCAACCGCGCTGTGACCCAGCTAGCTTCACGTTCCAAGGGGCCAAGTCGTAAGCTTCACGCCAGAGGCTTGTGGCGTGACCTCCTTCCTGTGGACCGCTAAGGCGGTCCCAATCACATTCTCCTGGCTCCGGAGCGAAGGGAAGTGAGCCGTTAGGCGAAGCGTACGGAGAAGTGAGACAAGGGAGCCGCTAAGCTCATAGAGCCTATATACTCCCTACGGCAAAGAAAGAGAGAGAGAGAGAGAGCGGCATCACGAGTTACAGCGCCTCTTTGCGGCATCACTCGTAGTTGCCAGACGGCAAAGATAGGATTGATAAAATCGATTAAGTCAAAGGAGCATTTCTGTGGGATGTTGTTCAACTAACGAGCATGCGATGAGGACTCTTCCGATCTGCGTGGTTCATTTTTGGCACAAGCACGTACTCTCCCAAACCCTCCTCGGTGGGAGGCTTCCTGCCCATGGTCCACAAGTAGTGGTTGAACTGCCTCAGGCATCGCTTCTCTCATGCGCTCTTCTCTTTCGAAAGGCGCGGTGGCATCACGGAGAGGCAGACACCACATGGTTCCTCCGAACACGGTTTTTCTTCGCACCAATGACGAAAAACCCTTGGGCCCTTGGTCCCTGGGCTGTCGCTCGCCCCGAACGGTCAGGTCGCCTGCAGCCGGACTTCACATGGGGGCCGCGCCTGAGATTGTAGCTGATTCCAAGTCTAGGAGACAGGCAATGGAAGCCCTCCACATCCTGCAGCGGTTCTCTTGAAAGATATGATATAGCGCACTTGTTTGTGGCTTTATATTGTGGCCTGCCGTGATTCATATCCAATTGGTGACACCAAGCAACAAAAAACTGAATCGAGAAATAATGAAATCAGACATGAACAGAATTCAAAGTCGTCACCTGCTGTTCGTCCATGGTCACCCCATCGCCCCTGTCTGCTTGATCTTGACCCACCAGCAAAACCCCAACGGTGGAAGCACATGGAAGTCCGAATGTTGTTCCTGGATGCCCCCAGATGGCTGATTTCCCATCCAGCGGCTCCTTGCGGAACTGCAAGTTGGAGGGGTCAACGCACATACGCAAGCTGATCTGCATGTTGTCCAAGCGGTGCCTTCGACGTCGGTATGGAAGGTATGCCACTTTTGTGAGCTCAGTGTCACAGGTGACTTTAGCATGAGTGCTGTAGTCATGCAAGCCGCCGATTCAAGATCCACCGCAAGAGTATTTCCCTTACATCCACCCCCTGGTGTCCCGTGACCCAACCAGCCTCCAGGTGTCTGCGATATGGCCACAGCAAAAGCATCGCCCTGGCCCGTCCCTGCGGAAATTCTGCGCGGTGAGGTCCTCCTTTTCGAAATAGATGCCATTGGGATTCTCGCCCTGGCTGGAGGAAGCTGATAGGAACCAGGGCCAAACACTTCAGATTTGGAGAGGCTGCCTCACACACGGCCACATGGACTCATGGACTCTGACATCTGAAGAGGCGCCAACCATCTTTCAGAGTCTGAAATTCGAGTTCGACCCTTTTAACTGCCCAAAGTGTGCCATGGCATCTGCGACTTTCATCTGTTCACTTCACCTTCAACCTCGGCCCCTTTGAGTTCCACACATCTCGGAGCACACTCACCCAGAAGCGACACAAAGAACAGCACGCCTCCCAGTAAAGGATATGATACCTCACATCTGATTCCATGGCGCCGTTTTCATGGCGCCCAGCAGTCTGCCACTGGGGCGCGTGTGACGGACGGGTGGAACGCCAACAGGCTCGGTCAGAGAAAACACCAACGAACGACACATGGAGTGACGTGTGCAAAGCATGCTATCAGAATTATCAGATCTGTCAGGTTGTAGGTTTCTATCTACAGCTCATGGTGTAGGAAACTAGACTTCTTGACTTGATTGCTAACCTGACCTATTAAGCATGAGTCTTCCTCCAGAGTTGAGGGGGCTGAGTTGGAACTGGGGGCCAAAGCCTGCCGAATCGCCCTTAGAACGGAGGAGTACTGACAATTGACTCATCCCTACCACGTCTTGGCACATTTGCAGATCCTTGCGGGCTTTTCTTGCGGGCTCTTGGCTCTTGATATCAATCAATGCTCCGATTCAGCTCATGCAGCATGCTACTTTTCGAGCCCGGCCAGGACGAGAACTGACCAACACCGACCAACAGCTCTGTCGAGGCCGAAGCGGCGCTTCCAGCCCAGGGCCCAGCTCCTTGCCCACCAACTTCACGCCCTTCAGGGCATTCAGGTAGGTCCAGATGAAGATGACCGTCGGATCCCCACCCGAACCTGGCCGGAGCAGAAGGCAGCACGGGCGGAAGAAACCAGCACCGCTTCTCGAATTATGTTGTTCAAGGACGGATGCACACACACATATTTAAAAAAACAAAAATAAGTAATATATATATATATATACATACACACCTGACATGTGTGTGTGTGTGCGTGTGTGTGAAACGCATGAATTCCATTGAATTCCATGAAAGACATGGGATCATATGATCATATCAAACCCATCCCTTTCCCCATCAACCCGTGGGTGAAGCCAGTCCGAGGGACCCCAAGAAAAGGGGTCTAAAGCGCCTGGTGCTTTGTGCCGCTTGAGTGTCAAGAGCTCATACCTCGCTGGGGTGATGTCTTCCAAAATGGAGCTGGTGGACGATCAACAATTGTCCCCTAGGTTCACCAAAACTTCGCGAAAGCGCGAGCGAAGAGCCCCAAAGCGGGAAGTTCGTGGGTCTCAAACCCACTGGAGGGATGAAGTAAGGAGAGATGGCCGAAGCTCCTCAAAAGAGAAGGATAGAGACTGAGTGTGGGTTGGATATTGCTCCGTCAGTGGGCTGAGGTCGGGCAACGTCATCGGCGGTGCAAAAGGCACAGCGGCACAACCATCGGACCAGCAGGCATGAGAAAGCTCCAGTTCGTCATGCGACTAAGCCGATTCTGGGGCCATGGGCGTGGTCACACTGTAGGAATCAATCTGAATGGCATTGAAGGTGGTCAGCACCAGCAGCACCACCTCAGGTTGTTCAGATGACCCTCGACTCTTGCGGAAGGAGATTCAGCCTCCATTTTGGGGGGGGGCACCTAAATCAGGAGGGCACCGCGCGTCATGGATGGAGTCAGTCATTGCAGGCTCTGGAGTGCCACATCCACTATGTTCCATCTTAACTGCAGCCCATGGACATGTTCCCAACGGACCCAACATGACCCTAAGATCCATCCAGACACCCAATCTCTCCGACCCCGCCCGTCGCGATGTCATGAGGCCCGGCCCGGTGGGGCGGGCGAGTGTCGCGTCAGGGACCGATGACGGAGCCAACTCGCGCGGCCATTCCAAGGCACCACAATGATGTATGAGAAGAGGATGATGGGCGCAACCTGGGACGCGGCTTGCTGGAGGTTTGCTGGTGAATGGTGGGCTGCAGAAATTCGCGGAGGGGTGCTTGGTGGGTGCTGTGACAGCCACACCTCCAAACGAAAGTGTAATTTCGAAAGGCTGCCAAACACTGCAAAAAGACAACATGAGCAACGTAGCTGGACTGATGCCATGAAATGAAACTGCATGTCAAAAAGCAGGAAGATGATAGCAGTGACACGACATTTGGAGGAGGCTTGACATAAAAATGGAAGTTTTGATCCAAACTGCTGAAATCTCTCAAAGACCTGTACACATGCGTTTCGGTGAATCCTTGGGCATGGGTTGTACTGGGATGAGACCCCGGCCAGGCTGTTGTTCTTGTCCTTGGGCGTGGCGCGGAATTCCGACTGTGGGGCCCATCGGAAAAGGGCAATAGATGACTCATATCTGCTTTTTGCTTATCGGGTACCTTCTGGCCACTCGGTGACCACCTGTCAGTGCTGTTCTCCTGCAGAGAATCGTTAAACAAGCCAAGTTGGGAAAACAACATGTGATGTTCTTCGCTTGAGAGGGGAACCGCTGGGCTAGCTGAATCATTGAACCAGTTCCTAGTTCCCTACCTGCTATATAATCAATTCCATTTCCACATTTACACATAGTCATGCAGCAGTGCACGCCTTGGCTTATCGTAGTCAGTGACAGTAACAGACACCAAAAATCCCTTTGAAGTTGTCCCATTTGGAGGCCGACGCCTCGCGATCTTCTTCAACCGTAGCTTGATCGAATACAAATTGCCTCCCCCACTCAATCCATCCCCCGGGCGCCCCGAACGATCACCGGGCCCAGATCCACACCGCCCGCTGGCGCAGTGGCGACCGCCACCTCAAATCAGGGGTCAGGCGACTGTCTCCGACCGATTTGGGTTTCTTATGGGTTTGGCTGTGACCCACCCACTGCCATGATTCTTCTTAGTTTCTTGCTTGTGTCTGTCTGTGTGTGTGCGCTACGGTGCTTTCTCGTTTCTCTCCAGTGTTGCTTCGTCATGGGTTCGTTCAGTCTCTTGACTCTTGACTTCTATGATCTGTTATCTGGGTACACGCCTCTCTCTGTGCTGTGCAGCGTCTCTCCAGCATGATGCCTAGCAGTCTTACCTTGCTGAGCCTTGTGGGGAAAGCCTTTCCTTACGGCCAATGTTAAAGCACCAAAGCTACCATTGACTCACGAAGCCTTCAGGATTCGCCACACGCTTGCTGCTGGGTTCCCACACAAAGGTGCTCCAAATGCTATTGTAGATCCCCGCCTGAACCGTTGACACAAGGGTCGATGGAGATCAAGAGATGAGTAATGTAGACTCTTGATCAATACCCCCAAAAAAAATACACATACTAAAAAACATCTGCATGGAAAGGTTTTACAATCCACACAAATTTCTTCATGGGCGTCCCCATGGTCCCAAATGGAAGAGCTCTCTTTGCCTCATTTGGAGCCACAGAGCTCTCTAAACGATGGAAGCCGCCCCCGTTCTCTGGAGTCCCCCGGCCAGCTGGAGAAACAAAGCAAATTATTTAATGGTAATAGATCCAAGGGATATGTCATAACCTTAGAGTTCTCCAGTCCACCTTGGATACGAGCATTCTCAGGGTGGTCTTGATCATGTTCATCCAACTGAGCAGCCATCCTAAGCAAGGCCCGTCATGGTTTCGTACGGTCCATGCCCACCCCTGCTCCTCTGTGCCGAAGCCGATGTAAATGGCCACCTGAAGGAACAGAAAAGCAGGACACCCTGATTCTTCAGCTGGATTCTTTTGGGATTCAGCTCTTGTGTCTGAGAAGCTGGCCCCTGCTGGCCTGATTGGAAGCCCACCAATCCAAGGTCATTAACATTCAACTAGCTGACTAGCTTCTCTTCAGCTGGACCGGCTGGATTTCGGGGCATTTGGGCCGACCTCCATGCACCGCAGTCCAGTCCACCGTGCGCGGTTTATGGTGGTTGTCCAGTTCCGCCGAGGTGCTGCAAAGCCGAAGAGGCTCACCGACAAAAGCGAGGAATACTTCAGCAGTGCCTCGACCGCTGCGGCGGTCCGGTCCGACAAAGGGTCAGACCCTGTGGGGGTCTGACCAGGTGACTTAGGGGTACTGAAAACCCACTGGCCGTGGCTGGCCAAACCAAAAAGCCCAGCACTTCACCACTTGGGTGAGTCTCACGGATCATGTTCAAAATCATCTACCAGTGTTCGGTGTCTAGTTTTCGCCTTTAGCCATCGGTTTGGGCTCGAACTCGGTCATACTTTGGCCCACTTGTTTGAACAAGCCTTTTGGGGTCCCCCCCCGGACACGCCATCACCTTCGGACCACGCCCTCGTGATACAGCAGGGGCTCCGTGCGATACAGCAGCGCTCAAAAATCCGAACGAAGGGCAGGAACCTTCGTCCGAGCGTGGCAACGACGGATCCGGCGATCCCCGGCGTCTCGCCTCGGAATCTTCTGTAAAGGAATCTTGCAAGCTATGGACCCATGAAATTCGGGGACCAGGCTCATGCAGCGCCGAAATACTCTACCCGAATCTCAGGCCGGTCGGCCTGTCCCAATACCAGTCCTCTTCCACCCTCCTCTCTACACAAAGTGGAATGTGCAGGATCCACACCGTCGGCCCATCGGCCGACTGGGAGGCTCTAGCCTTCGGGCGCCTTCGGGCGCCTTCGGGCGCCTTCGGTCAGGCGCCCGCACGTGCGAGAGAGCGTGAGGTACTTCATCACCCGGAGCCAGGTGATCTCGGTCGCTCGCGGCGGCATTGAGCATCCCTCGAAACGGAGATCCCGAGGTCCATCGAAGAGCTTTGGTTGGATTTTTTGGGTTCCAATAGCGTCTTGGATGCACTCCCTCAGCTGGACTCCAGGGACAAGTGCATTGTATGATTGTGCTGCGCGATGGCCATCAAACTCCTCTCAACGATTCCAGCCAGAAAGTGTCATCAAAAAAGGCATAATGGAGGGCCAGGGTTGGGGACCCAGAATCAAAGTCTCGGCTGGGTCTTCTGCGAGCCTTCTATGAATGTTCATGTTAATCCCCAAAGAGGCACCAAGCCTTCTTCATGAGGCTTCCATTGCTCTCAACTAATCATTTGTCCGTATAAAGTGTTTCAAGAATACTAAAAACTTTGGAGTGACCTTCTTGGCACCTTGGGCTCTAGAAAGGAGGCCTTGTTCAAGCTATGCCACTGGAGGGTTCGCAAGTCTGTCCAGCAATTCCGCGCAACACTCATCTGACTCGGGTGAACGTGGGGTGCCGGCCAATCCAAGCAAGGCTTGTAAGCCCATCACCAGCTCCATGTTTGGAACCTTGACAGCATCGAGCGGAAACATACAGTAATGATAACGGGAAACCCTTGCGCATCTTTGTCCACGTCCCATGTCGATCCGGAGATGTACATCATTTGGCATGGAATTTCCCGCGGAGTGTCCGACCTTCTTGGAGTTCTCCCCGGCCGTCTCACCCAGTGATTGCCCAGCTCCGAGGCCGGCACCAGGGTGCCAATGGGATAGAACATCTCCTTGGGATGGCATTCCCCTGGTTGGTCAGATATCAAGCTCCAGAAAGGTTCGGCTATATGCCTCTAGACACATGGCATCACATGGGCACGTCTATGAAAAAGGCCAGGTAAACATGGCACACATGCAGTGCACACGCACACAGCACACCGGATAACCAATCACTGAGTTCACCCACCGGATCACTAATCGCCTCTGGCATGAGGTTCGGCAGCGTGTCCTGACCAAAAGCAGGGGTTGCTATTCCCAAGTGGCCCGGAATGAATGGCATACTCCAGTGTTCAATGACGAACCCAAAAAATGGAAGACAATTTGTTGGAAAGGCGGGTCTCTTGTCAGTTCCCTTTCAGTTCCTTTTGAAAGGGAGGGGTCCGTGTTTGTGTTGAGCCTGACCAGTGGGGACAGCCAGAGTCTCAGAGCTAAAGCCTGATTTGAACTTGACGCACTCCGCAGCGCACTGTCAGCTCAAATGGCCAACGCTGAGGTCCCCCACGGCGACTTGGAAGATCTGAATTTTCAAGAGCAACATGATGGCCCAAACCTGCGCAGGAGATGCCCGCCCAAAGCGTAGCAGATTTTGGCCCAGGAGATGTCTCATCCTGGGTGAATGTTGGCACCCACCAAGCCGAAAAAATGGGATGTTCGTGCAATTCTTGTTTTGGAGGCACTGGAGGGCAAAACAAATAAATGTTCTATGGATGCATGGACCATACCGCATCACGGCAAATCTCATATCGAAGCGAAGAAAAAGCTATGAAAGGCTCACAGGCCCAGATGCCAGGGCAGCCATTTTGAACCATTGGAATGCCTCTGCCTCTGCCGGATCCCCATTTCAGGACCACTTCTCTTTGTACAAGCGCCACGGTTCAGAGAACCAGGCGACACGTGCTCGCAACGTGCGTTCCTAGACGAAACTCATCTGCAAAAGGCGTCAAGAGGTTCCCACCACAGAAGCCTCAACCCATGTCCAGCACACATTCATGAGGAGGATCTTGATTGGATTCATCCTTTCATCTTGGGACCTCTCAATCAAGCCGCTTTGGAGATTGCATTGTCATCTAGCTCCTCATTCGCCTTCTCAGCTGCGTAGAATGTGCAGCGCCCTTAGTTGGCAAGAGTATCGAATCCACTGCAACTGATCACTAAAATAGAATCCAAAAGTCGACGACTCTTCTACCAAGCAGCCATCCTTGTCGGCTGCAGCACTCACATCGATGAAGTAGTCCTCGGAACAAAAACCATACAGAGTGACCCAGAGGGTGTGACCGGTCCAGACCCTATCAACCATTGCAGGACTTCGAGAATCAAATCCTGAAGGCTCAAAAGGCCTCAGCAGAGCGCTTGAGGAAACTCTATCACCCTGTCGGCGCTCATAGAACGATTTCGCCACCCGATCTCCGTGAGAGGTCTGCAGGATCCAAGCATCCATCATCTTGTCCAGCTTCATCTCATGTTTTCGCAGGCCCCCATAGCACCACTGGAATAGGAAGGTCCCACCTGCAACAGTTCCAACATTCAGGCCCTGCGCGGTTCCCAATGTGGAAAGCCATGACAAGTTATCCTTTCTGGTGTGTACCTTCCATCTTACAGGATCCGGAGATGGAGAGATGGAGAGGAACAGGCCAAAGCCCATGGCTGGTCACATCTGAGTGTCGTGGCAAAGTCACCAACTCCGTCCGCTTGCGCCAGCGCGCCATCTCAACCATGTGCCATCGGCCTGGTCTGAGAAGTTTCTGGGCAAGTCTGAGATCAGAAGATTCCATTGGGCGCTGGCCCATGTCACTGATCACTGCGTCCTTGGATGGTCTAAGTGGGTGTGGACAAACTCTGCAAACTCGTTTGGGGTAAACATCGTTTGATAGTTTGCCCCGGGAGTTCCGTGCCACCTGGCGCTTCAGGCCAAGCCTTTCATCCACAACTATGAGCATCCACGATACCAGCAAAGCTAACACTTGACCGATGTTTGTTGATTGTCCCTGCTGCGAGCTTGCATACCGCATAGCCATAGAAAGCGGCCAAATGACATGGCGGCCCCCCCCGACGAGAACAAGGAGGTCATCTGCTAACAAAACTAGATCCTGTCTCGAGCTTCAAACTTCGCATCCTGCTTCAGCAAGGACTTCATCCCGGTGGTCGCATCTGCAAGCATCACATCTCCTGAGAGCCACGTGCAAAGCGCGAGCTGGGTGTGAGGATGTCAGCACAATGTTACCCGTGGAAACCGAACATGTGCGAGCACAATAGCCGGCCGACTCTCTTCTGAAGCCAGGCAAGCCATAGAGATATATGATATATGGATATCTCACGTTAGGTTGTACAGCTTAAACAAAGCCTACATGCAATGGGACACATGTAAAGAAAAAGACAGAGAATTGGCCTTCAAAGCCAAAGTAGTCCCGTGCAGCTTCGACGATGGTGGGGTTCTTCTCGACGGTCAGGGCTTCGGATCCCGGGCATTGACTGGCCAAATAACTTTGATAATAGCCACCTGGGGAAAAAGCCAAGCTGAGCAAATCATATGAATGCTCAACCAACTCAACCAACCCAACCCGAACGATCTTCAGCCTTTCTGGACCTTTGACTAGAAATGGAAGGATCGATTGAGGGAGGCACTGCATCAAACTCACATCGCAAATTAAGCCCCAATAAACGTGGAGAACGATGTGAGTGCCCAAGGTTGCATCCAGGAACGACCAATTCTCAAAGAAACTGTCAGATTAACTCCCCAAAGACACAAACATGTGTCATGCACTCTGATGTTCGACCTGTTTTCTCGTGCTTGGCATGAATTCCCTCGTGTTCTCTGGCTCCGCGCCTCCAAGGCCCAGGAAGAGCACCTTCTGTGGTCTCTGCCTGCAGGTCTCCAGCCAGGGCAGCCATTGGACGGGCCAATCGGTCTTGTCGATGTTGGGCGCCTGCGGGAGGAATCGGTGGCCGGGCGGTTGCCTCGTTTGAGCTGCTCCCCCACCCTGGCAGGGCGTGGTCCACAAGTGCCCATTTTCCGATGCATTTGCACGAGTCCCTCTTCCACCAAAAAGGGAACCCAAAAGAGCCGCGGCTGGACCGCGCGGCCAGGAAGTGCCGATGTTGGGGCGTTCCAACGAACCACGGCCGGCTGTGGAGCCTCGCGGCCCCGCAATCCTCGCGGCACTTCAAAGGGGGTGATCCAAAAAGAGCACCCAAACCCCAAAAAGTACAATCACTACACACAAAAAAACGAGAGTCACCACCGCCATCCACCACCACCACCGCACCATGTCGCTTCCGCCCCCGCCTGGCACTGAAACTTCTCCCACACCGTCGGGTCCTCGCAGCTCAAGGTGGCCGGGGCCCGTGAGAGCGGCCAGCGCAGTAAGTGCGGCTTCTCACCAGTGCCTCGAGTGCTGGGCACGTGCCGGTCACGTGCAGGGCCGGTCAGGGCCAGCGAGCGGAACATCCGGAGCGCGGTGGCGCAAAGGAGCGGCATGGTTTAAAATTCTGACACACCCCGTGTCAGGGCCTTGAGAACAATTAAAGCACTGGACACAATTGGACGACAATACAATGGACCCACTTTCAAACGTCATGTTGCTCAACAAAGGCTTCACCCGCGCCCTCCGAGCAATGTTCGACTTGGGGAGTCATCCAGCAAAGTCCCTGCTCTGAACCCTGCTTATATAGCCTGGTTCTTAGACAAAAGCTTCAGGACAAGCCACAAGCGACAGAAGCTTCGACATAACCTGCAAAAAGGCCATTTAGAAAGCAAAGCCGAGTTATGGAAACAAAAGGCTGGAATGTCCAACAGTCCAACAGCAAGCCTTTGTATTGAATCTGCCCCAACGTGGCCAATGAACCACGTTAAGTTGTCCTGCATGACCAGACTGGCTGGCCAGTGCACCCCAAGCTCGCAGCCTGGGTCGTCATCAAAGACCAAGCTCCGCACGTTGTCACTGCCAATAATCACCTTGAAACAAGCTGTAGTGTTGGACGGGCTTCTCTTGTTAGCTTCCAAAACACAACCTTGCCTTTGCCTTGATTGCGTTTTGTGCCTGGATGCAGAACTCAACTGGCCAGCCAAGTCATCTCAACCCCTCCCTGGGCTACGCCAGAACAGCTTGCAAATGAATGCTCATCCCTCGTTCTCAGCCAAGGCACCCGCACCCCCCCAGTTCCTCCATGGCCTCCACTGTGGTACTGGCAAGTGTCCGAGCTGTTGACCTCAGGAGACAGGCTCCTGCCTCATCATCCCAAAGGGCCCAAAACCCCACAAAAGGCATATATATATATAGACTGCATGCTGCATACAGGAAACCCGACAGTCCGATCTTTCGAGAACCAGCCGTTTGGACAAGCAATCTGCTCCCCCAAGTCGAGAATCCCGCAGTTGACTTGATCCAGCACAATGGCCCAAAGGCCCCTTGCGGAAGCCCTTGCGGAAGGCATCTCCCATCGGAAGTTCCCAGCCCTTTTCATGCAAAAAACACTGCCTAGGCACTGCTTGGCTCAATGTGATGGGCAGCAAATCCAGCAAATGGCCTCAGTGATCACAAAAGCCTCTCCCCAAGACGGCACCAAAAAGCATATGGCAAATGCCCATCGTCCATCCGCCCTGGCTATCAAAAACCCTGTGTTGCGTCTCTTCTGATTTTATCCGAAACCTCTACAACGGGGAGGGGGAAGATTGCACTTGTGGCAAGCAAGCGGGAACCCATCTTGCTGCAAAGCACTCCCGCACCAACCTGGACCCCAGCCAAACACCTCAAAGAACATACTGTTTCTGTGATTCCTTCTCTGCAAGCCTTCAGAACCATTCGGCGCCGGGAGACTGATGGCATCCCCCAATGCGTAGAGCTTCATACTGCGCCGTCGAGCGCCCGTCTCGAGCCGAAAAGGCGTCGGCCTCGGCCCCCTCCGACGCCACGAGGCGCCCGCTTCAGCCGAAGGACCAGATCGTGCCCCCCCCCCCCCGGAAGCCGTGACGCGCCACGCGACGCGCCACGCAGCTGTTTGGTTGTTTTTTTTTCGCCTTTTGGTGGGACCGATCGGCTCGCGCAAGCTGGTGAGCAATTCCTCAGATCTGCAGGAAGTGGACACACAACCTCAGTGGAGATCAGTTGGGCACCAAAGCTGCTCTCATCAATCAAACTGCACCTCTTTTCGGTATACTTTGAAGCCTTCCCTCCTTCCTTGTGCATAAGCTCGGGCAGGTGATTTTTCGAAGAGTCTCCGACCAACAGCTTGGCACCTCGCCTCGTGTTCAGCAATCCACCCAACACGTCCCGGCCTCACATTTCTTGCCCTCAAGATCGTGAAAGGTGAGCCGTTGCCGGTGGAGCCAGTTCCTGCAGCATCCATAGCATCTTCCGCACAACCGGAAAACCGGTCCAGGGTTGTAGCTCGATCCGCCCCAAAGAAAACAACGGGTTGTGTGTGTGTGCGATGGTTCTGCAACCATGCTTCCGGTGCTGCATGCCTTGTAATATGGTTGCCCGAAAAGCTTCCTTTGCAACCAAGGCTCCTGGAACAAAGTTGCAGGTCCGACTCAAAAGTGGAGGTGCTACTATACCTCATTTCTCATACAGCTGTGGGTCCAAAAAACGTAACCTTGTGGTTGCACGCTGAAAATGAACAGATTCCTCTATAAGGGATGTCAGCCCACCAGGATTTGGCGCTCCAGCTTTTAAAAAAGACCACGGCCATACAGTTCCAGCGGGAAACGTTTCGAAGCTCGACCCGAGCCACAAGGCATCACGAAGGATGGGGTGCCCCACATGCGCACATTGACTCCTGGAGAAAAGGACTTGGTCAGACACTGCAGTAGTAGCTCATGCATGCTCATGCCAAAATGGCCTGCAAGTGGAGGAGGGAAATAGAGCACATGTCACATGCCCTGACCAAGAACCACTCCTAATCTGATGCTTGCGCCCGGTGGTGATCTCCACAACCACGCGGCTGAGAGCTCCCACCGGATGCCAGAGATGCTCCAAAACATGTACCGTTGTCCTGGCAGGCATTGGACCTGTTTCTCTGAAGAGGGGCCACTGGAAGGCACCTTTCCCAAATCCCATTTCTCCAAGGGATGCTCGTTGCTCACCTGTTCTAGCTAGTCACGTCCATGACACGGGCTACTGAAAGCCACAGGAGGTGTGATCCAAGATCCAAGATCTGGGTCCTTCCGAAACCCTAGCGCCAGTAGGTTGGAGGCCATCGCTCTTAGGTTAGAGGCCATCCCTTTTAGGTTGGAGGCCATCGCTCTTAGGTTGGAGGCCGTCGCTCTTAGGTTGGAGGCCATCGCTCTTAGGTTGGAGGCCATCGGTTGAAGACCATCGCTCTTAGGTTGAGACCATCGCTCTTGGTTGGAGACCGTCGCTCTTAGGTTGGAGACCATCGCTCTTAGGTTGGAGACCATCGCTCTTAGGTTGGAGGCCATCGCTCTTAGGTTGGAGGCCATCGCTCTTAGGTTGGAGACCACCGCTCTTAGGTTGGAGCCCATCGCTCTTAGGTTGGAGGCCATCGCTCTTAGGTTGGAGCCCATCGCTCTTAGGTTGGAGACCATCGCTCTTAGGTTGGAGACCATCGCTCTTAGGTTAGAGGCCATCGCTCTGAGGTTAGGGGCCATCGCTCTTAGGTTGGAGACCATCGCTCTTAGGTTGGAGATCATCGCTCTTAGGTTGGAGACCATCGCTCTTAGGTTGGAGACCATCGCTCTTAGGTTGGAGCCCATCGCTCTTAGGTTGGAGACCATCGCTCTTAGGTTGGAGGCCATCGGTCTGGTTGGAGGCCATCGCTCTTAGGTTGGAGACCATCTCTCTTGGGTTGGAGGCCACTTTAGGTTGGAGACCATCGCTCTTAGGTTGGAGGCCATCGCTCTTAGGTTGGAGCCCATCGCTCATAGGTTTGAGCCCATCGCTCTTAGGTTGGAGACCATGGCTCTTAGGTTGGAGATCATCGCTCTTAGGTTGGAGCCCATCGGTCTTAGGTTGGAGGCCATCGCTCTTAGGTTGGAGACCATCGCTCTTAGGTTGGAGCCCATCGCTCTTAGGTTGGAGACCATCGCTTAGGTTGGAGGCCATCGCTCTTAGGTTGGAGACCGTCGCTCTTAGGTTGGAGACCATCGCTCTTAGGTTGGAGACCAT